TGTAGGAAATTTGACTGTTTTGATCTGTAATGAGCAATTATAAAATTAATAAACGCCTACTACCGCTGTTTGTTTTCCCTTTGATGTGAACTGGAGCGATACGTTCACTGCTGTTGGCGGAGGTCCATCTAAGCTGGAGCACCCAGAGAGAACATGCAAACTCCACACAGAAAGGCCGGGGCAACTGGGGTTTGAAGCCACAACCTTCTTGCTGTGAGGCGACAGTGCTAACCACCGCACCGTCTGTCGGCGGAGATCAAGAGCGAAAAAAACCCTCAATTTTCGAATGTCATAATTGAAAATCTAATGTGTACCCAGCAGTCGAATATTCGGGTCCAGCCCTAGTTGCCACTGTCTTTTTTTTTATTTATTTTTTTACTTTTTTTAAAACTTTGCTGGCATCAAATTCAAAATGGGCATATGATTGTCCAAAAACAACAACATTTATAGTTTTAAGTTGTCTTTGTGTTATATTCAATTAAATATGGCGTTTCAATGTTTTGCACATCATGACATTTTGTTTTTATTTACTTTTACACAGCGTGCCAACTGTTTTAGAAACAGGGATGTAAAGTAATCTGGTTTCTTGTGTGCATGTAAACATTCTGATGTGGTGTCTGACCTTTTACTGAAAGCCTCTCAAGGGTAAAAGTTGTCCAGTGATGAGGCAGACTGAAGCTTATTGACAACCACACACTGTGACTGAGAGAGAAATGTCAATATCCAATGAGTACATGTCCTTGAACACAGTCAACAATCCAGATACATAGTATAACGGCATGTGAGAGTTCAATGTGAAACTATTTAGATTTTTCTACAGCAGTTGTCTTTTTTTCTGCTCTGTGTAAACGCTTGAGAAAAAGTCCATATACACCAAGTGATATCTATCTAGGGAGTGGTTGCCAATACCGCCTCCACTGTTTCAAATGTTTCCAATGTTTTTATTGAAAGCCACTTTAGACTCAGGTATTATTCTACATTTTTATTACTGTCAACTAATTCCATCAAAAGACCAAATCCAACAATGTGTTTGTCTGTCTCTCAGTAACAAGTGAAATTAAAGCTGCAAGCAGCGTTGGGCGGGCCCTCGCACTTGTAGCGCGTCCGGGTGTGAGCCGGCCGAGTTGCATATTCTGGAGCTCTGTTGGTGCGGCTGTGAATTTGCTACGCGGTTCCGACGCCGCATGAAGGTGCTATATGTCACTTCCTGTGTCCCCTATGTGGAGCTACATAGCACTTGCCGCTATGAATATAAATCGGTATTGACGTGTAGATGTCTGCGGGGTATGGAGGACCGATCCTGACAGTCATAAATAAATAAATAAATAAGTAAACGCTCAATAAATAAATAAGCATCCAATTAAATACACAAAAAAATAAAGTAAATAAATAAATGTAGGTAGTAATTAAATTATACAAGGAGACATAAATGTATATATTTTAATTAGTGCCTTTAATAGTATTATTATTATTATTATATAATACCTTTACTTATTCACCTTTGTTATAATTACCTTATTTGTTTATTCTCTGTTATAATCTTCAACTTTATTTATTAATTACTTATTTTTTTAAATGTATTTATTTATGTGTTTTAATATTTTTGTCTGTTTTATTCTTCCGTATCTTTTTACCTTATTTATTTACATGGTATTTATTTCTTCCTGTCCTTTTTACATTTCTGTATGCATTTCTGCCTCATTATGCAAATTAGGAGGGGCTGTGTCTCAAGGGGTCAACTTCTGCCCATTGGTGGACCAGTCAGACTGCTTCCTTCAGTGCGCTGAGGTGTTTAGCAACTCTGAAGACACTACCAGCCATGTCTTCCTTCTCTTTTCACGTAAATGTAAATGCTCCGTACTTGTATAGCGCCTTTCTAGTCTTTTCGACCACTCAAAGCGCTTTTACAGTCGGGGTTCAGTATCTTGCCCAAGGACACTTCGACACGCAACCAGGGGGAGCCAGGGATTGAACCGCCGACCTTCCGATTAACGGCCAACCCGCTCTACCTCCTGAGCCACAGCCGCCCCATTTATGTAATTTTCTTTTATCCAAAGCAACTCGGGTACACCTGTTCAATTTCTTGTTAACACAAATGGCTAATCAGCCAATCACACGGCAGCAACTCAATGCATTTAGGCATGTAGACGTCATCAAGAAAACTTGCTGAAGTTCAAACCGAGCATCAGAATGGGGAAGAAAGGGGGTTTAAGTGACTTTGAACGTGGCATGGTTGTTGTTGGCGTGTTGAAGGGCTGGTCTGAGTATTTCAGGAACTGCGGAACTACTGGGATTTTCACGCATAACCATCTCTAGGAGAACGGCCTGAAAAAGAGAAAATTTCCAGTGAACGGCAGATGTGTGGATGAAAATGCCATGTTGATGTTCAGAGGAGAATGGGCAGACTGGTTCAGGATGACTGAAAGGCAACAGTAACTCAAATAACCACTCGTTACAACCAAGGTATGCAGAACACCATCTCTGAACACACAACACGTCGAAACTTAAAGCAGATGGGCTACAGCAGCAGAAGACCACACTGGGGGCCACTCCTGTCAGCTGAGAACAGGAAACTGAGGCTACAGCTCACACAGGCTCACCAAAACTGGATAATAGAAGATTGGAAAAACGTTGCCTGGTCTGATGAGTCTCGATTTCAGCTGTGCCATTCAGATGCTAGGGTCAGAGTTAGGTCTAAACAATATGAAAGCATGGATCCATCCTGCCTTGTATCAATGGTTCAGGCTGGTGGTGTAATGGTGTGGGGGATATTTTACATTCTGGGCCCCTTAGTACCAACTGAGCATCGTTTAAACGCGACAGCCTGTCTGAGTATTGTTGCTGACCATGTCCATCCCTTTACGACCACAGTGATCACAGTGTCTACTGATACTTCCAACAGGATAATGCACCATGTCACAAAGCTCAAATCATCTCTAACTGGTTTCTTGAACATGAAAATTAGTTCACTGAACTCCAACGGCCTCCACAGTAACCAGATCTCAACCCACTAGAGCACCTTTGGGATGTGGTGGAACGGGAGATTTTCATCATGGACAAATCTGCAGCAACTGCATGATGGTATCAAGTCAATATAGACCAAAGTCTCTGAGGAATGTTTCCAACACCTTGTTGAAAGTATGCCACGAAGAATTAAGACAGTTCTTGAGGCAAAAGGGGGTCCAACCCGGTACTAGCAAGGTGTCCCTAATAAAGTGGCCAGTGAGTAGATGCGGCATGCTTCTGGAGCAACTAGGAGTTAAGTGCCTTGTTCAGGGACACAATGGTGGATGTACTGCAGTTGGAATTGAACCCAGGCATGTGTCTTATTCAATGTGCCATCTCCACACCAATTATTATTGTGAAAATATCATGTAAATGCAAAATGGCTAAAAAACTATTCTGATAACTGAAAGGGTGATTTGTTAAAAAGTCCATGTATTTCTTTTCCATCTAGAAGCGTTTCACAGATCCATGCACTCCTTTAGCATTTACCCATCTCTAAAGGGCTTTTTATGTGCATGTTTGTTCACTCATCTTGGAAGACTCGTTTTTCACTATCAGTGTTTCTAATTTGGGATAATGCCATCTTCTTCTATCATCTTGTGTTTTCCTGTGTGCCTCGCTTAGCTCCCTTCTCTGTCACCTGTTTTTGCAACCTAGCAACACACAGTCACAGGACCTGTCCCAACTTTTTGGAAAACCGTTTCTGGCATTTGTGAATTGAAAAAAAGCTCCCACCTGTAGTAGTTGAGCATATTTACAATACAAACCTTGTCAGTGAACTATGAGGGGGAAAAAACAACCACCCCCCCCCAAACAAATACAAAATAATTGTTCATTAATCCTAATCAAGGTTAAATGTTCAATTAATTGTGATTTTGATTTTAGGTCATGTAGTCCAGCTCTACGGTCATCACTTTCTCGTTAGATTCTTTATTTTGCGGATTTATTCATTGATTAGATAGTTGAAATCATTAATGCTAATTTTATATGCCTTGAGTCGAAGTTGTTTTGTCAGTAGTGTCATTTTAGTATTAATACAAACCCTTAGGTTACATATACACCAGGGCTATTCCATTGCAAATTCAATCGGGCCGGATTTTAAAACCAGGACACGGGGATGGGCCGGACATTTTCTCACGAGTTGGGATGAGTATCATTAGGATTTTTTGTCACTTGTATTGGTAATCCTTATTGGTTAAATTTCTTTATCGATGCTCTTTTCAGTCCTATTTATTATTAAATAATTGCATATATAACTTAATATAATAATAATATTATATATATATATATATATATATATATATATATATATATATATATATATATATATATATATATATATTTTAACTAAATGTTGCGAGAGCAGCAACAGGATTTACAGGAGCAAAGTCACTAATATCTCACTGGAAACGAATCTAAAATGTCAGTAAAATAAATCACATTCCTGACATCAACATACTGAGTGAAGTTTAGAACAGCTCAGTCCCTCCTGTCCTCCCTCTGCTGCTGCTGGTAGAGAAGAAGGCTGCTCTGTCTCTGCCACCAGCTGAGTTTATAATGTGCCTTATTTTAATGTACGTGGCAAACTCAGTTAAACAGTTACTAAAGACAGACAGCTTTCACTTTAACTTGTTTGCAACAATAAGCTGATCGGTACAACACGTGTGAAACTCAACAAAGATGAGAAGGAAACTAGCTACTTCTATACATGTAGTTTACTTTTGTTGTCATATATATTAGATTATGTGCTGGGCCACATGGAGGTTGCTTTGGGACCAGATGTGGCCCGCGGGCCGCAAACTGATTAGGGCTGATATACAATAATGATTCCCTAGCTTTGTTTGTAGGCCTAAATGTGACCTTTATAAATCCCGAGGCAGCAGTTTGATTGGATGCTAGTTTGAAAACATTTGCCTCTGGGAACAGCAGCTGTTGGATTTCTAAGTCAAGGTTAAGGTAAGTAAATGCATTTCCACCTCCCTTCCCACTCTTACCTGTCTGCCAAGTGCTGCTCCCTGGATGTCCTCCTGCTGCTGCTGGGCGATGGTGACGCCCAGAACCAGGGTGTGAACCCCGCAGGATACAGTAGTGATGAGCACGATGGGTGTCAGTCTCAAAGGCAGAGTCAGGAAAAAGGAAAAGCTAAAGAAAGCCTGCCAGCCAACTGTGTCACTAGCCTGGTGGAAGCGAGCATAGTTCAGACCCAGATAGCAGAATATCTGAGCTGCTATGAGCACCCACAGGGCATAGGGCACAACCCGTCTCGAGATGCGGTCTGGCAGCAGCCCGAAGCGGCACAACAGGTAGAGGATAATATCTGCTGCCAGTCCCACTGAGGCCACTAAAACAGAAGCCAGCTTGTCAGTGGTATAGACCACCGCACACATGACAATAATGTAGCTGTCAAAGAGGGCGGCAAACACAACGAGCACCAGCAGGGTCTCATGTCTCTGTCGTCTGAAGTAGGTCTGGTAGAGGTTCTCCAGAGACTCGGGTGCGAAGGTGAGCCGCATGAACCGTGGCAGGCAGAGGCAGCATCCTGAACTCCGAACCGTGACCTCGTGTGTTCGGCCCACTGCCTGCCCGGGATCAGAGGGCAGTGTCACCGAGCAGTCAGCCGAATACTCTGCAGAGTACTCTGGCTCAGAAAAGGCTCGGTTCCGAGGCATGGTGAACACTCACAGCTTATGCTCCTTTCTATCAAAAAATGGACAAAAGTGGTCTGGTTTGTCGTCCTACAGGGGTAAACCATATGCTGAGATAACTCTCAGGTATGCATCATCCGTTTGTTTCCCTTCTGCTGACTGACCACCTTTTCCCCCTGAGAGCCTACATATGTGGCATGAATCACAGCAGTGTGTTGATTGTCAAGACCTGTACATCTGAGAGATGTCTTTTACATAGCAGAGTCTGTGGAAACTCATCCAATGCTGTCATTTGACTTAGTTAGTCCTGTGTCATATGCACAGATAGAGCACGCCTACTCCTCATTAGCAACGTGATCCAAAGAACATGCCCCTCTTCCTTCCTCATTCATCTTTCCAAATGTGACTGTTTCAGCAGCTCCTTTCCACCTTTGTACTCCACAGTTGTATACCATGTCAGAGTCAGTGAATTCATTAACATTGGATCAACTAAGTTTATGCCTGTATGCAATTCCTCTGTCTCCATCATTTGTCTGGGTGGAACAGCGTTTTGCATTTTGGCCTTCCATAGTCCCACTTCACATGGCCTGAATAAAGAATAACACATGAGAAAAAAATTCACCATGGCATAATCTCCAAACACACAGAGGTATTTGTTTTTTGTATCTACCATAACATTAGGAATCGAGTAGGTGCAGTACAGTCCCTACTTCCTGCACCTGGCTGCTATTGGTCCTGCAAAATATAACTAAAGACATTAGACTTATTTTAAGATACACTTGACGCTGACCTGCATCTATGGACCACCAAACCTTGATTTTCAATAACATTTGAACAGGTCAACTTGGCATCCTCTCCAACTATCCCTGCACTGAGGTGACTTGCAGTTGGTTAAATGTAATAAACGCAAGCTGAAAATCTGAAGCTGGTATGTGGTGTATGCTGAATTGAAAAGGGACTCTTAGGTTTTGACGACTGCTTAAGTACTACTTTATTGGGTTTGCACTTTTGCCAATTGAGCAAGGCCAACTTAAACTGGCAGGCTGTCTTCACACAGTCGCCAGGCTCTGTGCTGCAGGCCTACCTAGCTACATGTTGCACAGGCTGTGAAAGCATATTCAAACACTACGCTCATCTATCGAAACACATTTACGCTGACAAAATCAATGTGAAAGCTGTCAATTGTCTGACCAGTGTCACCCACCCCTCAAACTAACTGTTAAAATGGTATTTCAGCATCTCTGATTTTAATTACCGTACCGTGCATATTTGACTGAATCTCTTGAATCTTCGAATCAGATTTTCACGTCGGCATTGTACTGTCCACGTACACTGCATGCTGTCTCATTTCCATTCATCGGCTATGCTAGACGCTGATATTTTGTCCCATTCTTCCAGACGCTATCACATGACCATGTGCATAATCTATACGGATGCATCAGCTTACCGTTTCCAAAAGCAGCTGTTGTCTCCTGTGGGTGCTGGCGTTATTCCCTTCAGACAGATGTAGACGTCCTCAGTGCGCCTGACGCACGGGAGCCGCACGTACTGAAGCACAGTCTGCGTGAAGTAAAACCCTGATGAAGGAAGGCGGCCTCGGCGGGTACACAGGCCAGGTCTTTTTGGTTTTCGGTGTTGGAACCGCATCACAGTTAAGCTACAAGCATCAACACATCATTTCCGGTCACTTTTAAAAGAAAACCTTTATTTGCAAATGTGCCATTTTATGTTTTATTGAGTAATGGAGAGAAAAGGGGGACAAATAAAGATGAACTTATCGCATCTGAATATGTGAATATGTACACAAAATCTGCCTACCATTTTGTTGTAATAAATTTTAAATAATACAGAATAGCAAGATACAGACCCATGCCGTTTTCATCACAAATAAAAACAAAAGCAATACTTTCTGAAAACCTTGAGCCATGCCTGGTACAGAACCTGTTTGCATACCATTTTACTGTTACATAAATAAATAACATTTTATGTCCATCTATAAAGTTAAATTTTCATCAAATTTAATTTAGAACCTGACCTTTCCTGACCTTGGAAATCGTGATTATACAAAAGAAAAAATATCTCAAGGTCTGCTTAAGAGCCTTTCCAGAGCTTTTGATCGCATTTTATGGACTTTAAAAGCTACCTGAGTTTGCTTAGTTTTCATGGAGATGATGTGATGACAAATGATAGCCATAACAACTGACTAAATTCCATTCAGTGGGAAAAAAACTTGAGATGTGGTTGAAAGCTACAGGAAAAAAGTAACTTAGTGGGCCTGGAGCTAAGATGTTAGTATTTTTGTCAGGTCTCTAAGCATTCAGTCTTGCAGCTCACTGACTGCTATTAGTATGAGCATTTGTGTATGTGCGAGGAACACTGTAAAAATATGCCATTTGAAAGTCCAAAGTCTCAAATACCAATCCAGCTTCAGCAGTCCTTACGAAAACATTATGATATTCACAGGTCGGCAATGATCGTGCTTTTATTCTGAAGGTTAATATCGAGAATGTGAATTGCGTTTTCTGTGTAACTTGACTCGGCCACCGGTTTGCAACGTTTTCACAGGTGTTACCCAATCAGTTTGTAAACAAAACCGTGTTAAAACGGCAGGAAACTCCAGTGCGCTTGTACAGAACAGGGTATTCGAGGCACCGCCGTTTGTGTTGAAAAAAACGTTTTGCTATGTTTTGTCGGCGCTGAATTCGCCCCACATTTCCTCCCGTGGTATCCCCGCCCCCTTAAACCGCCTCCTCCCTCCATGTACATAGTGGAGGTCTGCCAACCTGGGCTGAGTTCAGCGCAGACAAAACGTAGCAAAACGTTTTTTCAACCGACACTGTGGTTCCCTGAACACCCTGTTGTTTATGCAAGCGCAATGCATTTCCCTGCCCTTTTAACGCCGTTGTGTTTACAAACTTTTCGCAGCTGATTGGGTAACACCTGTGACACGACCACCAAACAGAAGAAAACATACCTCGAAGCCTGTTGCGGAAAGTTGCGCAACGATACAAGGAAACATGTCGTTCAATCCGAAAACGTTGCAAACCTGTGCAAAACGTTTTGAGTTTGAACTCACCCCTGATCGAACAGAAATACGTGAAATTAACACAACCCCTTAACCACGATTTACGTGGTGGTGGCACATATGTGTTAAAATTACGTGTCGGCACCACGGAAATAAAACCCATACACGGATGCGCTGGTTCAACAACGTCACACAATGGGCGGCGGTGTTGGTTTCTAATTTACGAAACGTCCTTGTATCATTTAACATAGTGTATTAGTTCAGATTTTTGTCTAAATAACACTGACTTGTTTGTGATACAACTATCAATTTATAGATGGAGTAGTTTTACAGAATGGCACGAGGATGTGTTAAATAGATTGTCCCTTTTACATTATTAAACCCTTATTATTTTATTATTTTCAAATGTATTTTCTGTTATAGCAGCAAATATTAATAATAATAATAATTATGAATCAGAAGACTTTCATTCGTTACTATGGCAACAATGCATCACGTTACACACGCTCATTTCACCCGCCACCTGACTACCCAAGGGGTGTTTATTTGTGAAAAGCATACAAAACCTTTGCTGTTATTTCTTCAACTGTAGCCCGATCACTGTAGCGTTCTATTCAAAGTGCAAAGCAAGTGTCAGAAGTGTAACTAAGGAGAATTACCGCCATCAGGGATGAACTGGAATAAAAAAGGTGAAATAATAAATGCATAATTAAATAGAGAGACCCACCACTAAGTTACAGATAGAATATCCTGTAACACCATGGTGCCATACTTTTGTAAGACTTTTTTTTTTTAAAGTCTTTTAGAAGACACTGAAATCATCATGAGAGAAGAGGATAATTGTTACTTTAGTTATTTGTGGCATTGAGAAGAGAGAGCAGTGGATGTTATAAGAAGCACTTTATGCAACAGGACGTAGTGGTTGTGATTGATAAATATTTAATTAATAATTACAATTACTTGATCCTAACTATTAAGAAATTCTCATTTACTTCAAAGGCTATTCTAATAATCTTTTGGTTTTTCCTGTTTTACAGATTTTAACAACGACACTTTTAAGAGACACTCTCTCAATTCAATTCAAATTAGCTTTATTGGCATGAATGTAATAACAACATTGCCAAAGCATCATATATACACACAACTCTCTCTCGTCTCTTTCGATCACTCTCTCTCTCTCTCTCTTCATTTTGTGTATTGTTTGTATTTGTATGTGATGTCCCTCAATTATGACGTGAGGGTATTTGATGATCCCAATGATGCCAGGATGCACATGGCAGCATTAATTAGTGATGCTCATCTCCATGATGCCAGGGTAAGGCTTGTCATGATAAGCAAATACCTAAGTCTGAAAAAGCTAATTGCTGTTTATAGATGTGATGTAAAGGGTTAGTTAGATCCTTTTATGCAACTATTGAATAATGTTCAATTAAAAGTGCTGCTGATATAAGTGCTCTGCAAATATATAGGCTGCCAGGCCCATGGAAAACCCTGCCTTTCTTCAAAGAAAAAAGAGGTAAAGCAGCTTTAGGAATCTTTAGGAAATCCTAAATACTCAATCCGACATCGATTATCAACTTTTATGTCTGTTACCTAGCAACTGATGCCACTGTTGTCATCTCGCCGAGCTAAACGACTTTTAATCACTGTTTTGTTTGGCGTTTTTTAAATGAAACATAAACTGAAAATGGAGCAGAAACAACAACTATCATTGGACTTCAAGTCAGATAACTTAGAGTTAGTTGATGCTGTCAAAAATAAAATAAGTCCATTTAAAAGTGAAAGTGAAACTTCCAGGTATGTGTACACATACACATACGAGGAATTTGACTCTGGACAATGCTCACGATGTGCTTACTTATACAATAAGACAATAATATATCATCATATAATCATAATCAAACACAGGCTACAGTATAGAGTATATACACTCACCTAAAGGATTATTAGGAACACCATACTAATACTGTGTTTGACCCCCTTTCGCCTTCAGAACTGC